ATATAAGGTTTTAAAACTTGGTAAGATGGACAGTTTTTGCAGTGCAGTTTACGCAGCTCATTTACACACTTTTCCTGAAGATAGAAGAGTTTGTTGAATCTGACGTGACATGTTCGTACGAACCCTTTGTACGAACAAAAGTAAGAGAAATTTAGGAGAAGAATACAAACATGTTCTTGCATGAGGCCCAGTGTTTCATCTGGAACCCAAATGTCTTCAGGGAACAATAAGACCTGCTGTTCTAATACTTGTGGAGGGGACTGTCTCTCATCCATCTGATGATTAATTTTTGTGCTCATCCTCAGTGTTGCCAGTTTGTTCAATCATTTTGATTGGTTCATCCTCTTCTCCAGCGTGCAGAAACTCAGTGCTGATGATTCTGCAGCCGTTCCTCCTTTTCTTATTAAACATTTGCTCAGAGCCACAACATATGCTTGAAATTTGGAAAGAAGATAAAACTCAGTAGCCGTGTTTCCATCAAAGTTTTTAATGCGCATTTTGAAGTATGGCATCAGAAAAGGTGAATGGAAACGGATTGATTCGAAGAAAATCCTCTAATTCGCATCAAAGTTGATACAAGGGTTGGGCAGAATCGTATCATGTGCGATTAATCATCAGAAAAACAATCGATTACTTTTTGGCACTTGACGATTAATATGATTAATGCCAGCAGGCAGAGTCCGCTCGGTGCTCCTCTCTGCTTCAAATATGACAAACATTTTTAAAAAGTTCTGTAATTTATTTATCTATCAACACAATTTAAAATTTAATATATAACCTCAAGTCTGTGATTTTGACAAAATCTGGAACAGATTTTTATAAAGAGCAAATCTTTTCTAATTTGGTCATGTGACCAGGACATAAGGGTGTCCAGGGGATTAATCATCAAATTAATTATCGGCTAAATACAACGATTAATCGTGATGAATTTTTTGCCAATATTGCCCAACCCTAGTTGATACACTCGCTTGAGGTGATTTTTGGGTTTTTCAAAAAAGAGTTAATGTGCAAAAAGAGAGAAACACTTTTTTTGAATCAGGTCTGACGTAGTGAACATTTACCTGCTGTCTGTCTGAAACCGGTCCTGGTACCAGAGTGACTGCAGCTGAAACCTCCTCCCTCTGTCGGCGTGTTCTGTAACGTGAGAAGACTCACATTTATTTCTCTACGTCTCCCGACTGCATGTAAAATCACCAAAACTAGTTTATAACAGAATAATTACAACTTTCTGACAGCAGCAACACGTTCCTGATAACTTCTGTCCATTTTCCTGAGATGAGACTTTTACTTCCTGTTTACTGCACGCATGCGTCTGACGTAACTGATTCACTTCAAGCCAGTTGATGGAAACACGTCTGATTCACATTTCTTTGTTTTCCTTTTTGCGAAATTTAAAAAATTCACTCAAAATTCGAATTAAAATAGGATGGAAACAAGGCTATAGAGTGTTACATAAATGCTACTTCTAAAACCAGTTTGAACATGAAACTGTTGACAGTTCTTGATGTTTTACATGTTCAAACAAAGAAACAAACAAATGCTAATCAAAACAAGGTTCAAGTATTTTAGTTTAGACATGCTTTAATCAAATATAAACACTGAATTATGCTACGAGTCTTTTCTGTTTTGTGGAAAATTTAATAAAGGTATCCCGTTTTGAATGAATAAAAACATGTCAGCTTGTTGCACATTTAATTATGATAAAAGTTCACATAAAGACAGACTTCAGATTTTATCCAAGCTGAGGTGCAACCTCTTAATCCTGGTGGTCTCAAGATGACCTGCCAGATATTTCTACAGCTCTTCTGCTGTGGTTCGAAATAGGAACTAGAGAAATTGCAATTTCTGCAAAAATGCTAGTGTGAATGCTTCTAGCAGAAATCGAGCTGAAAAGTTTTAGCATCAAAAGGGTCATTGCAAGTTCAAACTAAGAGTTGAAAGAAGCAAAAAAGCCTAATTTTTCAGAAAAACTGTAAAAAGGAGCAAAAATATAGTTGAAAAAACTGAAAACAGCTAAAAGCTAAAATAGCTGAATATAGCAAAAAAAAACATCTGTAAGAAACATAAATGCCACAAATTTGCAGAAAAAAGCACAAACAGTAGAAAAGGCAAAAGAATAGCAAAAAGAAGCAGATCTATAGTTAAAATAGCAATAAAAAGCTAAAATTAGCATAAAATAAGCTCAATGTAGCAGCCACAAGTTGTAATAAGCACCCGAATGGTGAAATAAATTTAAAATTAGAAGAAAAATAATGCATAAATGTACAAAAAAGATGAAGCATAAGGAGCCTAAGGTTGCAGAACTTAGCAGTAAAAAGTTATAATAGCTACAAAAACTGTGTATTTAGCTTAAAAAGTTCACTTTACTTAATAAGAGCTGAAAATTTGCTCAAGTTGCAGCAAATGGATGAAAATAGAAGAATGCGTCAGTAAGGAGCAGAACTGGCACAAATTAAGATAAGATAAAACTTTATTGATCCCACAGTGGGGAATTAACAGAAAAAAGTAGAAAAAGGCAGAAGAATAGCAGAAAGAAGATGAATTTTAGCAGAAAGAAGCTAAAATGAGCAAAAAAATCAGCACAAGGAAGTTAAAAAGAGCAGGTTCTGTACAGATTTAGAAACATTTTAAAGTGGACCAATTATGGGTCCTAGAAATGTTTATGGTATGTCTGTGGGCTATCCAGACCATGTTCATTCAATTTAATGCACAAAATAATTGTCAGATAATAAAAGTTCCCATTTTCTAGTTCTGCCTGCTCTGACTTCTGTTCAGAAGAGCTGTTTATGTTAATGAGCTCTGTTGGTAACGCCCTCCAAAAATCTGTTGACATTAACTCCGCCCTCCAGCCAGCGTTTACGTTAGCATGGCTAATAATAGACGCTCCGTTTCTACAGATGAATAAATAACTGCTGGGGTTTTGTTCTGTCATAAACTTTACCCTAGCTTCATATTTTTGGAGGATGTTGCTTTTAGGAGTTTGTTGTTGATGAGAGTCGCGGTCGCAGCTTTTTTTTTTTCTCCCTCCTCCTGTGTCGGAGCTCTGTGCTCACTCTGCATGCTGTTACCAGAGCAGGGAGCAGCAGTGGTCAAAATACCTCAGAAACTCGAATAAATAGGCTAAAGCTAAAAACAATAGAGGTACATGAGAAAACGTGTTCATAACAAACAAAAATAAAAAATTAAATTGTTTGTGTCCGTGTCAGTCTCAAACCCTGGTGTCCCAGGCTCTGGTCCAACACTCTACCCATTGTCCTATTGGAGGCCTGTTGTGAAATGAGCTGCGTATTACACAACAACACGGTGACGGCTGTTTATACTGAGGAGGAGTCTCACCCGGGGGTTGTTAGGTAAGGGGCTGAACGCAGGTTCTGGTGGGTTGTTGTACGGCTTGTGACATCACAAAATAAGTATAAAACTTGTCGTTAATATACATTAAAAATACATTTACTTACAGTAAATAAGCCCCTGGGTGCATTTTTCTGGTCCTAAGACTGTTTTTTTAAGAAGTACATACCCAAAGTTGAGTGAAAAAAAAACTTTAAAAAGTGAATTTTACATATCCCCTTTATAGGATTTTAAGGATGTTGAAAACAGCTCCATTCATTTTCAATGGCATAAAAGTAGCTGAAAATGTAAAAATTGCTCAAATACCAAAAGTCATAGCAGGACTGTCATACATGAGCTGAATATTTTGATATATGAATTGTTGAAATAGAACAGAAATTGTGGAACAAATTAGACATGGGGAAGAAAAAAAAAGGTCTCAGTCTGAATGCTGTGAAGCGTCACAGAGCTGCTGCAGAGGGACCAAAGAGCCACATGTTGCAGACCCTTTAGCTCCTCCTCCTGGAGCTTCAGCTTGTTTTCATGTCAAGATGAAGATGATGATGATGATTAGGTGCTTTGTGATTCAGTTTGATCACCAGTCTGTGATTTAATATAAAAAGCGTTATCAATGCTTCTGTGTTCAGATTCAGTTGTGAGCAAACAATCTCTTCAAACAGAAACAAAGCATGTTTCTCTACACTTAAGTATAACACTGCTTTTATATTTTCATGTCAAAAATATAAAAACTCCCAAATTTCCTGACAAATGTCAACAAGATTACAGCAAAACCTGTTTCAGTTCAACAGAATCTTCAGTGACTTATGAAGGTGATTAAAATCTGCCTGTATGTATTTATTTTTTCTTCTAAAGCCTCGAGTTTTATTGTCAAATTAACTCCTCAGGTTTGTGTTAAATGTTTGGTACAAAGAAACAGATTCAGATACGAGCCTACAGTTCTTTTTAGATCTCATACGTTACAGGACATGTG